TGAATCGAATGAGGCTGCTTGTTATTTTCGTCCCTGCTTTTGATGGTGGGGAGACAAAGGCGGTCAGACCTGAATAATGAATGGATGTACACAAACAAAACAATTCCCACGCGACAAAGGCGGTGAGCACGTTCCGTGATGGTTCTTTTTTCTTCGTTTCTCTCTTTTTCTCTTGGATTGGAACAGCGACCCTGACTGGATGATGGGGCCTACAAGAGCTTAGACGATCAATCATCCGAGTTGCGGACTGATCACTTAATTATTATGGACGAATCTGCTTTTCAAGTTATAAACATCGCGAGATAGCCTTTGTCCTTGGTGGTTACTCAATTGACTCAGCTTCTATACTTACAAAGCTTATCCCCGCAGTCTGCACATACTATGCCTCATATCAAAGAGCTCAATGCTCATGAACGCCCTCCTGAGGCCATCCGGCAACGCTACAAGTCTCTTCAAAAGGCCACGCTTTCTGAGATCAATACTGATGAGACAATAATTGATCTAAAGGCTCTGAATCCCAATGATCTTCCAGACAATATATCTCTGTCGCATTGGGTATCGAGTGATGACCTTCGCCCGGTTTTCGAGCAGTTTGCCGGAGAACATGAGGACTCTCTTCCTGAAACTATACCGGTCTACACACACAAGTCCGTCTCTGGTTAGCATATCACAGCCCCGGTCTCCTTGAAAGCGAGCGCGACCAAGAAGAAGAGCCATCCACTCCTAACATGTGGTAGGTTTGCAAATGGTTCCTTCCATATTCCCTTCTGCCGTTCAAGTAGAGTTACTCTCTCGATTGTTCCATCGAGATCTGTCAAATCCGGAGCATCGGACCAACCTTCACCTACATTACCACGTTACCTACCCTGGTCAAGCTGCAACTCAAACCGACATCGCCGAGTCCCCACCTGAAGATGGCTCCACAGTACCACAGATTGTATCTTTCTTTGAGGACGACCCGTCTAGAGTGTTATTTCCCAAAGACCCGCAGGTCCATAAACCGATTACAGCTCAGCAAATGCTCACCAAGAAGCTGCGCTGGGTGACCCTTGGCGGCCAATATGACTGGACTGCCAAAGAATATCCATCGGGATCCCCGCCTGCATTCCCTGCTGATATTGCCAACCTGCTGCACGCAGCTTTTCCTCAAACAAAAGCCGAGGCGGCCATATTGAATGTTTATTCCCCTGGCGACACTCTGAGCCCTCATCGGGATGTCAGTGAGGAGTGCGATGTGGGCTTGATCAGCATCAGTTTTGGCTGCGATGGCCTCTTTCTGATCAGCCATGACGATGGGACTGATTGTGAGATCATCCGTCTTCGCTCGGGAGATGCCGTGTACATGGATGGCACCTCTCGCTTTGCCTGGCACGCAGTACCGAAAATTGTCCCTGGCACTTGCCCGGATTGGTTGGCTGATTGGCCATGGTGTGCCTCCGCTAGATCTGATAAGGCACTATTTGGCAAGTGGAAGGGCTGGATGGCGGGCAAGCGAGTAAACTTGAACGTCCGACAAATGTCTGCAACTGAGTCTCATGGTTGACGATCTGCGATCTCAAATTCTATGATATTCCCCTCGGGGTTATCTTTATAGGCTATATGTCAGTCAGAGACGAGCATCATGTACCCCAGCGAGGTCAAGGCTGCTCATCTGTCGCAACTGGATAGACCATCCTGTTAGCCAGGAGAATCTACCGTCCAGTTTGACGTATAAAAGGCTGCCATGTATCGACACCGTCATCCCTTCGGGCTGGGCACAAATGATGATTTGTCAGCCACTCCAGCTCGGTGTCTGGTGTGCACTGTTATTGGATCATGGGATTGGATATATAATACTCCTTCCAAGCTTACATAGCGAAGTGAGATCTGGTATAGAAACCAGTGATTGGGGGATTCTTGTAGCAGGGCCGCTATGAGACGGCCTGCGCAGAAGCTCAAGACATTGAAAGAATAGAGTGAACGGCTAATACTATGCTGAGGATCAAGACTTCGTTCTTTGAACAGTATCTTCTTGAAGTTCGACAACTCATTTTCGGATACTCATTGCCGGAAAGGACAGAGGTTCGAAAGGCCTAGGTACTAGCATACCTACGATCAACATTACTGGGTGTCGCCAATGCCGAATTTGTACCGTAGGTCTCCAACTACTCCATAGACTCACACCCGATGGTTCTCCAACTGTATATCTTTGTTGGGGAAGCAGAATACGAGTTGCATCCTGGTCATTACTGGATAGATAACGCTGCCCCACGTTCCCCGCTGCGACTGAATATCGTATCGTACGAGATCCCGCATAATCGTCAACGGCCTCGGTTATCTTCATGGTATCTCAGTCCAGGGCATGTCTCTCGACCTGCCTAGTCGGAAAGGATATGAAGTTCCTGACACATAAGATAAGGAAGATGACCCCATTCTCCAACTGACTGCACCCGATTTAAGGTGGACATTCCCTACCGGACAAGTTATCCCTTGTACTACTCCATTCCTCAATTATATCCCATACATTTTTAGCAAACCAAGCTGTTAAGTCACAATGACTGTAGACTGGAGATCCTTGGCTGATGCCAAACGCCAGTCCATCCTCGATGCAATTCCCGCCAAGTGGAGGATTCAGACTCCGGTCCCATCACCATCCGAACTACGGGATGTCACCGGTTACATTGAGCAGTTCTTGAGTCCTCGCGAGCTACAGATTACCGGAAACGATGCCGTGGACATCGCGAAGCAGACGACGTCTGGTAACTGGACTGCTGTGGAGGTAACAGAGGCATTTTGCCATAGGGCTGCTCTGGCACACCAGCTTGTACGTCTGCTAGTAACTTATGTATGCCGTTTGTTGACAGTGTCCAGGTGAATTGCCTGCATGAAGTATTCTTCGAAGCAGCTATTGAAGACGCCAAAAGGCTCGATGCGTACTTCGCAGAGCACAAGAAGCCTCTTGGGCCTCTTCACGGTCTTCCGGTCAGTCTGAAGGACCAGTTTCATGTGCGAGGCGTCGAGACGACGATGGGATATGTCGGCTGGATCGGTACGTTCCAGGGCAAAAAGGAAGATCCAAGAAGGGGCGTTTTTGAAAGTGAGCTTGTTAGAGAACTTCGCAACCTCGGAGCTGTGCTGTACTGCAAGACGAGTGTGCCTACGACTCTGATGGCAGGAGAAACAGTCAACCACATCATCAAGTATACAACTAACCCGCAAAACCGACTGCTCTCCAGTGGAGGAAGCTCGGGCGGGGAAGGCGCGCTTATTGCCCTGAGAGGCTCTCCTGGAGGGTTTGGCACTGATATTGGCGGTAGCGTCCGTATACCGGCTGTATTTAACGGCCTCTATGGAATACGTCCCTCGTCTGGCAGGGTACCTTACGAGGGTGCTGCAAACTCCATGGACGGCCAAAATACCATCCTATCCGTTATTGGTCCGCTTGCAACAACAGCGCGGTCTCTGAGACTACTTTTTAAGGCTGTACTCAGCCAAGAGCCTTGGTTCCATGATCCCCTGGTGCTCGAGGTACCCTGGCGCGAAGATATTGAACGAGAGGTCGGGGCTCTGGTGAACCGGTCAGCAACTGATCCTTCCAAGCTTGCCTTTGCTGTTATGTACGACGATGGGATAGTCAAGCCTCACCCTCCTATTGCACGGGCTATGAAGACCGTGGAGGAGACGCTGAGAAAGCTCGGACACAAGGTTTGAGAATTGTAGCAACGCGTCTGGCCTATGCCAAGCTGACAAAGTTGGATATCAGATCATTGAATGGAAACCTCCGTCTCACAGTATCGCAGTCGATCTGGCCGTATGTTCCTCCGTTGTCCTCTTTCTTGGGCTCTAAGTATACTGACTCCGACAGGATCAAGCTTTCACCTCCGACGGTGGCGCAGACATTGAGTATCACTTTGGTCTATCTGGAGAAGAACCTGCTCCACAGATCATAGTTGATACCAAACTCACCCACAAAACAGCTCTGGAAGTTGCAGCGTTGAATGTCAAGAAGCGAGAATACCAGAAGCTCTACATGGAATACTGGAATAGTACCGCTGCACTGACAGGCACCGGCCGGCCGGTGGACGGACTCATCTGTCCGTGTGCAGCACACGCGGCCGTGATTCCTCAGAAATATCGTCATGTTGGTTATTCATCATTCGTGAATCTGCTGGACTACACCAGTGTCGTCTTCCCGGTGACTCGAGCAGACAAAACAATTGACGTGTCTCAACCACGGACTGACTTCTTGAGCGAGGTGGATAGGCTGACTTATGAAGATTGTGAGCTCATTTTCCTGGTTCACTATATTGTTTTTGTGAGGCGATTGCTAATCTTTCTCAGATGATGCCGACATCTACCACGGGGCGCCGGCCGGGCTTCAGCTCGTCGGACGGCGATTCCAGGAGGAGAAAATGCTGACATTAGCTGAGTATATCGGCGAAAAGGTCAAAGAGGCATCACAATAGGTCTAGTTCCTAGTTTGTATTCTGATTGATGCGCGGTCAGCTGGTTGTTCTTATTGATTAGACTCGGAGGTAGCATCATAAACCGCAGCCATAACATCATGCATCCATTCGCTCTTGAGTCATTGTAGCAGTAGACTAGAAAAGCATTGTAACATGAGAGATATCCTCATGTTCTATCGATTTGTCTCTCTATGTATGTCAACCTCGGAGCAAAAGACGCGGACTCGAAGTTCCCCACCGCAAAGCTTGGCGCTTGTCGATCGTCACGTTCACATTCTCGTTCTTCTTCCTCTTTCTTCCTTGCTTCTTCTTTGTTTTTCCCTTCCTCGTTCCAGCTCAGCCATCTTTTCTTTTTCTTCCATCACTTGCAGCTCTATTACGTCCCTCACTTCCAATCTCGGGCCCCACTCTTCATTGTTCCAGCTGTGACGCACAAGCGCGGGCCCTCTCTTTCATGCATTGAGCTGCAGAGCTCCCCTCGGATGCGAGCTGGTCAACGCGTTTCTGGTGTCACCGCGACTCCACGTTCGCCAACAACCTAAATTTTGTAAAACAATGGCGGAAACCACACCCTCTCGTCCGAACGACTCCCCGGAAAACTCTCCTGGTGGAGGTGAAGACAACCAGTCCCAATCGGCAGGCCAATCCAAGAATCCGGCTTCCGTCAAGGATCGAAAATGCCAGTACTGTCATCAGGCCTTCACATCGTCGTCCCTTGGCCGACACTTGGATCAATTTCTCTTCAAGAAAAAGCCCGATGGGATCCACGATGTTGAGGAGATTCGGCGCATTCGAAGTGGCATCACCAGACGGCAGGCCCGCACATCCTCCGGCAAACGGGATACTCCTGAACGGGCCATGGGCAAGGGCCCGTCGGAGCACCTTGCAGGCGGAGATCACGGCGCGAAGCCGCGCGAGGGCGCGATCAGGATGATGTTTAACACGCCTACGTGGCATGCGACCGGGGTCATCAATGACATTCCCAATCCGGGTCAGACGCCGGAGGGGTCGCGATTCGCGGCCTCGCAGCCTCGAACGGGGGCGTTGCATCTTCCGGATTATGCGAGTAGGGGTGCCAGCGCCAAGGATCCGGATACAATGAGGGCTTTGGAGCTGGCTCTTCGAGAGGTTCTGGATAATATCAAAGCTGCAACGTGCGTGCCCATAAATACTAGGCCCTTGCGGGTTAAGAATGTGCCGGAAAATTGAATAATACCTTGCTAACAATAATGCGCACAGTAGTTCTCGGATGCGACCCCGGCTTTCGCCGTTCGATTTCGATATTCAGTCGGAGACATTCCCCTCGCTCTGTCTTCAGCTGTTGCCTCCGCCCCCCAGTCTCTTCTCTACCAATCCGTTCCCATCGCCGTCATCTTTCCCACTGAAACCTCCTGGGGCAGAACACCTTGATATTGTACGACAGGCAATCCGAGCGAAGATTGACCAGTGGCAATCCGATCAGCTGTCTGCGCAATCAGCGAACAACTCTCCCGGTCGGCCCGCGCTCGGCTTGGACGCTAACATGATCAGCCGCAGCGCGCAGCAACATGAAGATATGAGCCTGAGGCATCTCGAGCTGGCCTTCAAACACTGGGCCTCGCTGCCACCGGAGACGCGACTAGAGGCGTGGCATCTTGAGATCACCCGCGCGTTCGCCCGTGAGGCGGAGAAACGGAAAATATTGGACGAACAGCTGGCTCGTGTCCAGCAGGAAGCCAACCAGCTACGCGCGCAGGTGGAGAAGCTGGGTTCCTGCCAATGGCCCCGAGAATTCGCGCTCTTCCCGCCTGACACCCTACCCCTCCCACCCGCTGTTGCGCGGGAGCTAGATGCCCAAGAAAGCCAGATCAGCCCCGGTTCGCCTCGATGGGACTACGATAGCGTTGTTGCCAAATGGAAGCGAGTCGTGATGCACGACAAGACCATGGGCCGCGTCGGCGTCGGGTATGGCAATCCTCCGCTCGATGATCGCAGCAGCGCGGACACCAAACCCCGCGCGACAGAGGAGCCGCCTGCCTCTGCTCCTGCATCTGCACCTCCCTCTGCTCACCCCAGGTCGCGAGCCCTGCAGCCCGCTCCTGGCCCCGCGCTTGCCTCAAGCCCGGACCAGTCGTCGTCGCATACCGGCGGCGCCTCGGCCCCATCCAGCCAGAACACCTCGCCTTATCTCCGGAGTCCCCAAGCAGGTCCGCAAGCCAAGCGTCCTCGATTAATGAATGGTGCAGATGGTGGCCACACTTCGGCTGCGAATCCGTCGGCCGCTCCGACGAATACGTGGAATCCGCACAGTCACCAGTCCCTTGCGGTTTCGAACTTGGCTAGTCCGTCTGGACCGCCGCCTAGCTCTGGGGCGTAGTTGATCTTATCAGACGGGGTAGGCGCCGCCATCAGCCATGTAGGCATCAGGAGATATATGCAATAGCGAACGCACGTTGGAGCTCCTATCTAAACTGTACAAATACTGGAATGATATATACTCATTTTCAATTCTCGCAAGGAAGTCTGCAATTATTGGATATCTAATCATAGTACATAATACATAACCGTAACCATAACCGAGCAAAAAGGTCGTGGCTCTGGTAATACTATCACTGTGCAATCTTCTTCGCCTTCCGCGCACTAATCCACCGCTTCAGATCCCCCACGCCATGAAGATAAAGCCAGGAGAAGAAGTAGACCGCCGCGAAATTAAACAGGGTGAAAGCCCAGAAGATCCCCTGCGTTTGTCAGCTCGTCATTCGCGTGCAACAATAGTCGGAGACACTTACGTAGGAACGCCACTTATGCGAGTAGAAGACGTTGTAACTCGCCGCCTGAACGGAGATATTAGTTCCGCTATAAGACATGTATGAAGACGGGGAGGAGGGAGAACATACATATGCATCACCGATGGAATACGGGCAATACGAGCATAGGCCACCCGCGGCGTCTTCGACATACCCGCCAGCCTGTTTCGCAAAGGCGCCGGCGTAGCTCTGGCAGGTCTGGCCAGGTGGGGGCGAAAACTGGGTCACCTCCCTGCTGACGCAGCGGACGGGGATATTATGGGTGAGGACGCCGAGGAAGCCCTCGAGGAGGTAGTGGAAGGGGGTGAGCCAGTACATCCAGGACTGCCAGAAGTGGGGGAGGGCGACGTAGGGGACGACGACGCCGCAGAAGGCGACGACGAAGGTGAAGAAGCAGGGGACGAGGAGGGAGGCGAAGAGCTCGTTGGGGGAGAAGGCGGCGATGAACTGGCCGAAGCTGACGTAGTAGAGCTCGAAGACCATGAGCAGCATCCAGGTGTAGCCGGAGCTGAAGGAGTCGCGGGGGTACCAAATACCCCAGTACCTGGTTGTGTTAGTGGTGTGAGACGGCTAGAGCTTGGTTGAAAAGAAGGCGACTCTGGTGAGCTTACCAGCAGTTGAAGTAGATGGATCCTGCGACGACGGAGTAGGGGAGCTCTGGGAGGATGGCGCTGGTGACCATCGCGATCCATGAATAGATCTTCGAGTTGGCCTCGCGTGATTCGTAGAGGTTCCGGAAGTGGAGGAACCTGGGCTGGAGCTGCTGGATCAGGGGCGGCGAGATGGTGAGAGTCATGAAGATCGAGAAGAGCCGCGATTGCATGTCGATGAAGCTATTTCCCAGATGCCAGAAGGTAAACGTGTTGAAGAGTCCGGTGAAGATATGGAGAAGGAATTTGCCCTGTTGCTGTTAGCTTCAACTCTCCGATGACGAAACTGCACACTCACGAGAGTATACTGTGGGGATCTCCAGTATGCGACGAACGCCCGCTTGGTGACAGCCACGATCTGGGTCCAAATGGGCATGGCGTATTCCCGGTCGTCGTCTTTGTTCTGTCTGATTTCGCGATTGCGACGGGAGTCGATGATTTTGTCAATCTCCTCGGCCAGTTGTTTGCATTGAGGAGACTGGGCCCAGACATCTCCCCAGTCCTTCCCCTTATAGTCCGGATTGCCGGCGCCGATGACCTCGAGCATATACTGGGAACTATGTCAGTTTAAGCTCAAGCGGACGAGATGTGAGACGTACTTCGGCAGGATTCGCATGAGGCGGACATTTCTTAGCCCCGTTCGACTCGAAATACTCGATGAGAGTCTTCGAGTCCTGTCCCAGCTCTCCATTGTACACAACCCTACCTCCACTTTGCAACAGCAGGAGATCATCGAACTCTTCGAACAGAACCGCAGACGGCTGGTGAATTGTGCACAGAATCGCTTGTCCAGCATCCGCAAGCCGTCGAAGGAACCGGACAATATTGAATGCAGCAAGAGAATCGAGGCCACTTGTAGGTTCATCCAGGAAGAGTAGAAGTTCAGGCTTACTTGCCAGCTCTACTGCAATGGTAAGCCGCTTGCGTTGTTCAGGGTTCAGGCCCACCCCTCCAGAACCCACAGTTGCACCGGCAATTGGGCGCATCTCAAGTAGGTCAATGATCTTCTCGCAATAGTCGTATTTTTTCTGAAGGGGGACTTCTTTAGGCTGCCGTAGAAGCGCAGAGAAACGGAGAGACTCCCGGACAGTTGCGGTGGGCTCATGGATATCCATCTGTTCAGCAAAACCAGTTGCTCTCTGGAAACTCTTAGGAAGTGGCCTAAAGTTGTAAGTGACGTCCATGGATGCGAACCGTGGCAGTAAGACCTACTTTCCATCTACTAAGAAGGTGCCAGTAACGACGCCAAAATTGATCCGCTGTGCCAAAGTATTCAATAGAGTTGTTTTCCTGTAATGGGCCGTGTTAGCTACTTGGTTTCAAAGTTATGATGGGCATGACTGACCCTGCTCCAGAAGCTCCCATCAAGGCAGTAAGGCGGCCGGGTTTAACATATCCATGTACATCCTGCAGAAGCTTCCTTTGCCCGCCCTCATAAGGGATGGTGTAGTTGACATCTTGCCAAGTGAAGATAGACGTGCTCTGAGCGATGTCTTTGACTTCACTCCCAGGCTCTCCGGGTTGAGTCTTCTCGGAATCAGCATTGGCAGCATTCTCTTTCTGGCCTGATTCCTCATCCTCAGGAAGCTCTTTATTTTTCACTGCTTCGTTAACATGCTTTGGCGCTTCGTTCCTCTTGAAAGTTGTAACTGAGCTGCCACCTTTGTTGGGTTGCTGCAATTCCGTACCGAGCATCGTCAAGGCGACGAAGAAAATCAACCACGCGAGGATGATGCCAAAGTTTCGCCATAAATGAGACCGACTGTATGTGAAAGCAGTCTTGATGTAACTCGAGCCTTGGACAACTAGCTGGTTCGGAGTGCTTCCCTGGACCGCGCAGCTTTGGTGACCGGGTTGCGCGTTGGGACCGTCTGGTACGATATTTGGCCTTACACACTGAATGTCGAGGTTGTAGAACTCATTGGACATGATAGCTTCAAACGCATATTGAACGGGGTTTATCCAGATCAGCCATTTGAACCACGGATGCATCTTCCATGGCGGGATGAGATAACCTAGAGTGACGTGAGAAATGACGCCATTGGGAGAGAATTTCATCCTACCTGTATAGACGACCAGTGCTTGTATGGCAACTCCGGTAAGACGAGTAGCTGCTCAATTAGCAAGAAGCTTTCGTCGAGGAAAGCACGGTTGGTACGTACCGACGTCAAGAGAAGCAGACACTGCCCCGAGAGCTCGGAAGAAAGAATACATTGTCATTGTGAGAATGAAGATGAACAGGAACTGGATAAAGAATTGGGGCGGCGTGCGAGAGAGATTTGCCATACTTGGATAAACAGTTAGCGAAAGTGCATGACTCGAAACCTGACAGGATGCATACAAGTATACAATCAACTCGAAAAGAGTGACCTGGACGAAGACCAATGGAACGTCAACAACCACCTGGGCTAGAGCATAGGCGGATGGGCGGTAGAAGGAGCTGAAAGAGTCAGTCTTGTACTGTGTTCTGCAGGAGATAGGCTTACAAGCTTTTGTGTTTCAGCATGATCGGTCGACTTTCGAAAGACGCTGTAAGTTCTGCCATGGCGAGTAAAGCATTGAAGAGGAGAATGAAGAACATGACGCCTCCTCGGGTGAATACACCACCGCTAGGACATGGATCAGTTTGAAAATCATCCTTCAGTGGATATATCGACGGACCTTGTGGGCGGAAGATTGTAGAATAAACTTCCTACGATCAAAGCTTGAAAGACCAAGATGCACCATTTTCCCACCAAGGTCTGTTTGTCGCCGTACATGATCAGAAATTGTCGACGAGTTAGAACGATGACCTGATCATAGAAGGGAATGGTGTAGTTCTTCTTCGGCATTTCCTGCCTCGCCTGTTCACGTTCGTGCTCCTGCGTCTCCAACTCTTTCTCGAACTGGTCAATCTCCTGCAGGGCAGCCCTGTACGTATCACTCTTGCGGTACACTCTCTGAAAGTCCTCACCAGATCTCGGGACTCGATCCTCCCATCCACTTTTGATACGCCGCGCGTGTGGATCACTGACCGAGGTCAAAAAGTCCGGGGTGGTCCACCGCGGGGGACATTCAAACCCTAGGCGTTCGAAATATGCCTTTGCCTCTTTGGCGCTTCCATAGTATGCGCACTTGCCCTCTTCGATCAACATGACCTTGTCAAACAAGTTATAAAGATTCTCAGAGGCTTGGTAGAGGGCTACAAGCGTGGATACGTTCGCCATGTCGGTAAGAGTTCTCAGACTCTGTACATATTCCAGGGCAGTACTGGCATCAAGGCCTTTGGTCGAATTGTCCCAACATTGTGTACTGGCCTTGGTAATCATGGCCTCGGCGATGGATACACGTTTTTTCTCTCCTCCTGAGATACCACGGATGAGCTCGTTGCCGACTTTTGTGCCCAGCGCATGCTCAATCCAGAACAATTTGGCAATGGCAGAGAGAAACGTGTTTTGATAGTCCTTTCGGCTCTCTCCTGGAATGCGTGAAGCTTTGTCTGGAGTGCGAGTTTTAAGAGCGAACAACAGAGTATTCCGGACGGTTAACGTCGCATAATGAAGATCATCTTCGGGGTTATAGGACACTGCAGATTTGATCAGAGAAAGTATACTTGCGGTGAGAATAAAAGTAGCAGCTGTACCTTCAGAGCGGTATTTGTCGCTCATGAGTTCGGCATCTGCGCCACCATAGCGTACATCTCCTTTAATGCTTTTATATCCTGCCCTCTGATTGCCAATCACCTTCAGAAAAGTGGAGCATCCAGACCCCGGCCGTCCAAGGACGAGGAGCATCTCGCCTGGTTTCACGCAGCCCTGAAAAGTGTCAGATAGTGCATTGACGAAAGTTATGAAGGAACACAGACGGTAAAGTCATCAAGTATTGTCCGTAATGGGTGATGGCCGGCACCAATTCCTTTCCTGCCTCTTGTCAAAAGGCCTTTGATGAGTCTAGGCACAGCAAGAAGGATATCAGAGTTGGTAGGCTGCAAGGCAGCTCCCAGGCCAACCCCTTTCACTGTCAAGCCCTTCCATATGACACCAGCATGTCGAGTTTTCTCCTCGTCAGAAACTGATTTCCTTTCCTTGCCAAACATGTGAGACATCAGCTTCGCAATTTGAGCCATATCCTCAGGGCCTTCTTCGCTGCGGCTGGTCTGCCGACGGGAGAGAACACGGTTGATTTGGTCGTCACCGTACTGTCCATCACGAGTGGACTTGGAACTGACATCCTCGAATGCAGTCGATGGTTCATTGTCGATTGAAGAAGAATCTTCAGTGTCGGAACCGGAAACTGCTGGGGAAGCTGCAGAATTCGCAATGTCATAAGAATATCGCCCTTGTGGGGAAGCATCCACCTCCTTTCGATGCTCTACAGCGCGCTCAGCGTCCATGATGCAGACCGCAGATTAGATTACATGTAGGATAAACGGTTTGCACATTGGAGACATAGAGGAAGCGTAGAAAAGGCCCTATAGATATCGAATACAGGCGACAAGACAGCCGTAGGGATGAGAAGAAAACAAATTACGTCAGGGACTTTCCAATGTAATGTCTTCCCCGGATGTCTAATCTGGTTTGACCGAGCATAATTGTGATTATCAGGTAGATCAATAAGCTCAGGGTCACATCACTATTGGCGAGAAGCATGAGCTCGGCATGATCCAGATGTCCGTCAACTGGATTCACGCCGATGCGAGCATCATATCGGAAAACACAATAGCCGACTGTCCGATTGTATTGTGATTCCCATCGATGCAGTGTTCCGATCCAGGGATTTGCCCAGTCAGGTGCGCGTGTTCATCGATGCAATGGGCCAGAGGATCACAATGAGATCATCACTTGCGATCTGGATAGACCCGAGCATTCCGATAACCATTAGCCAAGACATGTGAACAATTCAGAATATCTCTGCAATTCAAGCTGAATCGGACCGTTGTCAAGCAACTGGGTCATCGTACAGAAGTGCATCGGATTGATGATCGAACCGAACCGATAAGAGTAGTTAGTGACGTAGAGGATGTTCCCTAAAAGGAAAAAAGCTCTATAGACCAACGACTTCTCCATGTTTTGGCGTAGTACGAAGCTTATAATATTGCATCCCTTTTCTTCTGTAAGACATTCAGGTCATTTTTTCAGCTCAAGATCCTCTTCACCTCTCGAACACGTCATGAAAGCAAATTTATTCCTAGACTGAGCCTGCAGTTAGCGCAGTATATCTGCCGCATGGTGCGAATCTAAGCTGGGGATGATGCCTCTAAAATGGATACTATCCTCGTATCTCCCTATAAGCTAGAAGACCTTTCAACAGCATCAAACTTCCTTGATAGTCAAAAACTGGCCCTCAATATGAGTTACGTGCCTCTGCCAATTGTCGATCGCCAATCCTGTGGCCCTCGATAAATGCGGAGGCTGGGAGGCTGGACCCAAAGTACTTGGTACCTGGTCAGCCTAACAACTAGCCCGACAGCTTAAGTACCCTCAACCCAATCAGGGCGGCTTGTCCAACGAATAGCGCCCAACTATCTATACATCTCTTCCCGTGCAAAGGAACACGATGCTGTCTGTCCAACAGCCCAGCCACCCCGACAGTCGATAGATACTTCACAAGGAAATCAACATGGCTGGGCCTGCCACGTCCCTTAAAACTACCCGGCCATGCACATGGTCCCTCGAAGAATTTTCCATCCCTCCTTTCTTTCTCTTATCTTCCTCTTCTTCACCCCTTACGGAGGATTTCCGTTTCTGAAGGTCTTGTTGGCCTTCATCTGCATACCGACATTCCCTCTTAGATCTATATATATATACACTTCTCCCCGAGGAGAAGAACCGAACGAAATGGTCAAAAAAAACATCACCATCGCGATTATCATAATCGTCATCTTCATCATCCTTGCACTGGCCGGCTTCGGCATCTACGCCATGCAAAACCATGTCTCCTTCTTCAAGAAACGGGCTGTGGATGAGGAGACCGTGGAAGAGGGGGGGTGACCTCTCCTTTCCACTTTATCACTGTTTACCGATTATGTCGACGACGATCACGATCACGATCACGAGCTTCCTTCTATGCTGTGCATGACCTTATGCATTACGATTTGAATTACACTATACTGCGCCATGTCTTTCATGAATCACGCCGTCTGTGCTCGATGTCGACGAGAGTACCTATGGGGGACGAGGATCAGCGCCTGTCACAGACCTTTCCCTCGACGCTCTCGATTTCGGACTTGATGGTTGAGTCGAAGCGAGAAACGAACAAACAACATAAATATTTATACATTGATCTATGTCTCATAGATATTTGCATCCATCCCGCCGTGGATATGGTTTATGCATGGGTTCTGGGGTTTGATTGATGTCCAAGTATGGGCAATGGTGCTTGGAGTTGGGTATATCATGCAACCGATTCTTTGAAAATACTTGCGACGGTACCTTATTATTTGTACTATATTTCATGCGATCAGTACATATACACAAAATGACACGTTTTACGAATCATTAATAGATAGAATTGATATACGCAATGAAAAATGCTGATCAACCAATAATCTTCAGTCCGCCCCTCGTCTTGCCCGGCTTCTTGACGCCGTCGTGCTTGACCTTCCCCCCGGCTTGACCTCCACCGTGACCGCCAGCGTTCTTCTTCCCGCCCTTGGTGTTCGTCGTCGGACGGATCTCCGTAGTGGCCCGTCGCAGCAGAATCGGATGTGAGCCAATGTACTTGCCCTGCATCTCCCTTGCAGCCGCGAAGTAGTCATCGCCGTTGCTGAAACTGACAAATCCATAACCCTTGCTCTTCTGGGTGCGCTTGTCCCGAATGACTCGCGCTTTCTGAACAGATGAATATCTCGCAAACGCTTTCAGTAACGAGTCGTCGGTCACCTCGCCCGCGAGGTTCCCCACGAAGAGTCGGAAATGCGCCGGATCCCATTCTAGCAGAGTCGGATCGGACCACGTCTGGCCACCGCCGGAACGCACAACGGTCTTGGCATTTTGCTCTGGGTGGCCTGGCACAGGTGTAGGTGTACTCGCCGCTGTCGCACTGGTCGGTGTGTTGGTTCCCACGGTAGCACCTGGCATTCCCGTAGCTCCGTCGCGACGACCTGCTACCTTGCCTCCTCCCGGAACTTCCTCCTTGTTGGCATAGGCGCTCTGCCACTGCGCAATTTGAGCTTCTGTCTCGGGATCTAGACCGGAGTCATTGCGTCCGTAATTCTTCCCCGTCCCTGTAGCGGTGAACGGATTCTGAATGTGAGGCACAGAGGGGCCATAGGTGGTGTCACTGTACTGTGAGGAACCGTAATAAGTCGGTCCACCCTGGTATGTTTGCGGTGTCTGAGAGTAGTAACTACCATAATTTGCAGCGGCCGGCGCCGAGTAACCCGCTGCAGTAGCTGGCGGCGTAGAGACGGCCGGACTACTGGCTCGGTAAGGCTGACTGGAAGCTATGGCGCGAGGCTGGAACGCTGTGAAGGCATTATAGCCTGTCCGAGGGCCAGTTCCGCCATATCCGCTGCTGGCAGCTGGAGCCGTGTATGAGGGTGCGGCGGAATATGCAGGTTGGTAAGATGCGGCGGATGTGCTTGCGGATGCTGGTGGCCGCGCGGGCAGCGAAGATGGCGTTTGTTTGAGACCTGGAGGTGGCGGAAAGGACATGATGAACGGAGCGTTCGAAACAAGAGATACGGTATGAATGGTTTGATTGCGCCGCGTGCAGGAGTAGCAGCAGACACGTACCTTCAGGGCCTGACTGACGAGCAGTCACACGTCAGACGTCACGCCTGAAAAAGGTCCCGAATCCTGAATCTATATGAATTGAGGCAAGTGAATGATGCACAACCGCAGTCTGAATTCTCGACTTGTATCCTTCAAATCGCCGTTCAACTGCGTAGAAAGTAATGGAAGATTGGTGGTAGCCTCGACAGTTGCAAGAGGCAGTCAACTCTTTTGAGGCGACGGAATGATAAGTTGAAGTGTCTCAGCAGCCGTATGTTTCGGGGAGAGTGTGTCGCGGAAGGCGTCGACAGGAGGTTTGTCTTTATCGAGAAGCGATGACTGAATCGCAAGAGAGGTCAATCCACCTTACTGTCCATGTTGCGCCAAGAGAAAGAAAACACTGCTGGTTCCTCCGGCCTACCGTACGGGTCTCCGGATAGCGGCAATTCATTGTTCCCGAGCAGCGGCTCAGCCACTGACTCCATGACTAAGCCGCCCAACGGATTGACCACAGAATGATGCAACCCCCACTCTAAGCCGCTTTGGGTAATGCAATAGCCGACAACGGCTTCATTGGGGACGAGACCTTCTGGATCAGTAATCCATGAGATGCTGTATTGTTCTTGAAAGCCCAGTGAGTGGAAAAAGTCATCTTCCAGGCGGCAATTGGCATCTAAACTCCCTTGGTGTAGCAAAGCCTAGAGTGCTACTGACAGCTTATCAGATGGGTTCTGTATTCATGCAAGTGAAACTGCTAGAGTGCTAGACCGAATGCGACAAAAGCCCGGAGGAGGATGGTCTAAGGTACTAGATAATACAGAGTACAGACGAGTATAAAAGCCAACGTTCCCTCGGAGATAACAGAAAAGTAGCCATGCCTTAGCAATCATGGCTAATAATGTCTTAATCTTGATAGACGGAGTAATTATTATTCATGTCGTGATCGGAAGTATATGGGCTCTTTTGCTTCACCGAGCATGCCTGACTTGGAGGCACTAGCACCACTACCAGTTAGTCCACCACATTTTTTGGCTGTCTGCCCCTCCATGTACAGCTCCTGTGCCCCGCCATCAACTACCGTCATCTCCGAAGTTCCTTGCTCTGTTTCTACAATGAGGGGGGATATTCTTTCACTGTTAAGGGACCTTGTGAGAGTGTGCACGGAGTATGCAGCAGCATATCCAGTGTTCTTTAGAAAGGAGGATTACAATTGTCTATGAAGTCAGTGTTGAGACCATGTGCAGTTGTCGAACAATCCCACCATCCGTGGGATTGATTCATGATCAACTAATCTAAAGTAATCATCCGTATCTAGTTCCCATGGATGCTTCCAGCGTTACTCTATCTACGTAGACTGCAACTCACCGGACGACTCTGCTCCCTCACTTCCTTCTGGTGCCCCGCCCGTTGTCCACTTCTTGTCCTGTGCAGTGTCCCACCATGACGGAAGGTTGCTCCGTCAGCATCCAAGGTCCGTAATTAACTACACCTAATCCCTAGTAATAAAATAATAATAATCCGGCTCTGACATCTTCTTCTCTCTTCCCTTCTTCTCCTTTTCTTCTTCTCCGTTATCCATTCTATACCCTCGTCTTCTCATCATCTTCTATTGGAGCTGTTTCTGTAGATTCCTTATCTACGGTCTATCTCCTTGAACTTCATCCCACCTATACCCCTCTTCTCTGTCTTACATCATGTCTGACCAAGCTGTGTAAGTACTCTTGAGTTTGTCCGCTTCCATCCACTACATCATCACCACTCTATCCCGTGGTTTTCAATCCCCTACGCTATCTTTGCGGCGTTGATGGCAACGTCGCAAAGCTATACCTTGCGCTGGACAAGCTGGCTCTTGAGCTATAAGGAGCTCAAAATTGAGCTTGTTGGAATTTTCAACCCTACTACCGTTGAAACCATGCCTTTCCAGCTCCCCCAATAAACCAATTCCCAGTTCTTTTTCAACTATTTACATGAGAATCTACCAACTGACTTAAGCGCCCGTTTGGCCGGCATCAATGTCGGCGCACCGGCGCGTCCTTTACCTAGTGCTGATTTCGGTCTCATCGGTCTGGCCGTTATGGGCCAGAACCTGATCCTCAACGTTGCTGATCACGGTTTCACTGTCTGCGCTTACAACCGTACGACCTCCAAGGTCGACCGCTTCCTTGAAAATGAGGCCAAGGGTGAGGCTCTCACTGATAAGTCTTCAATTGAGGGAACGCCAAACTAACAGATTCAATCCAGGCAAGTCCATTGTCGGTGCTCACTCTGTCGAGGAGTTCTGCGCCAAGCTGAAGCGCCCCCGCCGTATCATGCTGCTGGTCATGGCTGGCAAGCCTGTCGACGACTTCATTGAGTCTCTCCTCCCCCACCTCGAGGAGGGTGACATCATCATCGATGGTGGTAACTCCCACTTCCCCGACAGCAACCGCCGCACCAGGTACCTGAAGGAGAAGGGCATCCGCTTCGTCGGCAGCGGTGTTTCCGGTGGTGAGGAGGGTGCCCGCTACGGCCCCTCTCTGATGCCTGGTGGTAACGAGGAGGCCTGGCCCTACATCAAGGACATCTTCCAGAGCATTGCCGCCAAGAGCGACGGCGAGGCTTGCTGTGACTGGGTTGGTGACGAGGGCGCTGGTCACTTCGTCAAGATGGTTCACAACGGTATCGAGTACGGTGACATGCAGCTGATTTGCGAGGTATGCCACGTCTTTTTCTCAGATACTCTGCAGGGACAGGCCACTAACGTGACAACAGGCTTATGACATCTTGAAGCGTGGTCTGGGCATGCCCGTCAACGAGATTGCCGATGTCTTCGCCAAGTGGAACAAGGGTGTCCTGGACTCGTTCCTGATCGAGATCACTCGTGACGTTCTCTACTTCAACGACAACGACGGCACTCCCCTCGTCGAGAAGATCCTTGACAAGGCCGGCCAGAAGGGTACCGGCAAGTGGACCGCCATCAACGCTCTCGACCTTGGCATGCCCGTCACCCTGATCGGTGAGGCCGTTTTCGCCCGTTGCCTGAGCGCCATCAAGGACGAGCGTATCCGTGCCAGCAGTCTCCTCGATGGCCCTACCCCCCAGTTCACCGGTGACAAGCAGGCTTTCATCGATGACCTCGAGCAGGCTCTGTATGCCTCCAAGATCATCTCCTACGCTCAGGGCTTCATGCTCATCCAGGAGGTAAGACACTGCTCATCTCCCTAGGCTACACGCAATGACTGACAAGAATTGATTAGGCTGCTCGCGAGTACGGCTGGAAGCTGAACAAGCCTTCCATTGCCCTCATGTGGCGTGGTGGCTGCATTATCCGTTCCGTCTTCCTCAAGGACATCACCAACGCTTACCGCAACAACCCCGACCTGGAGAACCTCCTGTTCGACAACTTCTTCAAGGCTGCCATCCAGAAGGCTCAGCAGGGCTGGAGAAACGTCGTCAGCAAGGGCGCCCTCTGGGGTATCCCCACTCCCGCCTTCAGCACTGCTCTGAGCTTCTACGACGGCTACCGCACCCGGGACCTCCCTGCCAACCTGCTGCAGGCTCAGCGTGACTACTTCGGTGCTCACACCTTCCGCATCAAGCCCGAGTGCGCCAACGAGAACTACCCCGAGGGCAAGGATATCCACGTCAACTGGACCGGCCGTGGTGGTGACGTGTCCGCTTCCACCTACGTTGTTTAAATTCTGACGGAGACACGACGCACTGCGCTGGACGTAAGACCTCGTTGCCCTGAGAGGAAAGTGTGACTCGAAACTGCAGGATGGCCTGTCTATGGCTTGGGGGCACATAGATGATGATGGTAAAAAATGACTTATATCAATGTACTTAGATGCATGTTTCTTTAATGGTCCTCATGGAAATGGATGAATGTTTCTCTGTTCTAGTACAAGGCTGTAGTACGAGTCATAGTGAACCGAAAGACCTTTGAATGATGTAGAAATGCCATTAGACACCATATTGCTACTGTAGAGAGAAGAAGTGGTTGTGTACATGATTTGCTCATCAGTGATGCCGCTAGACTCGATTGGGCGGCGAAGGAGCTGCCCGCAGTGCAACGTTGTTCCATCTCCAAAACACCCTGACCTCTCCGTCAACGACGTCCACCGTCTTCCCTCTTCTGAGCCAGCAGCCACAGCCAATCATCCTGTCTGCTTGGCAGTGACTTTTTTTCCAATATTGTTGATTTTCTTCATTCTTGTATTGGTTGCATCGATTCGTTCTTGTCGTTATTCCTTTCTGCCGTCGCTCCTTTGTCTACCTATTTCCGTCTTCCCGCAACGTCCCACTTGGTTCGACCTGGTCGACTTCATCACTGCGGCGAAGAACTGATTGCGGCGGACATCCTGAATTTAAAGGACGACCTCCATTGAGTGAAAATTGGGAGCAACTTCCTACGGTCGGCTTGCCGTTTTGTACCACTGCGGCTCGGTCGGCGCATACTCGTCGATACAGCAGCTACCTTGGCTCCAGTTCCCGGCAGACCTAGGGGTATTTGATTGCCTCCTTTTCGACTTGCTTCTGTCGAGGGCGGCATTCATATGGCAGAGAATAAGCGCCACGGTGTCGGAGTGAAAGCACCAGCGCAAGGTCCCGCGGGTGCAGCTACGAGTGCGGGAATGGCAGGTGCCATGGTGCCGTTAGAGGTGGCATTGAGCGGCGCAATTGGCGCACGGTGAGTACTATATCCCTTGGGATGCTCTGGCGCAACTGGAGCCTGCAAGCCCCCTATGTTCTCTAGCTGAGTGTTTCCCATGATAGCATTCGCATTAGTACTGCACCCCCCACATCTTCTACGATCGAGGGCACTCTATTCACCGCCTGTCCCATCACAAATCTCGTTGCTATCAACACAGCCGACGGCAAACAGACACAAGCGGGCGATTACCGCATTATCCCGGTATCGCGGATCCAGTCATTCCAGCTCCTGTCTCTTGCTCCAAATG